ACGCGTGGTAATTTAACGCGTGGTAATTCGACGCGTGGTAATTCGACGCATGTTAATTCACCAATCAGAGAGCAAGGAAAACGCGCGCCACTAGATTCGAAGCTGTTGCTTTCGCGCCTGGGCGCGCGTAATCCTCCTAATAATTCAATTTTTTCCTAATAATTCAGTTTTTTCCTAATAATTCAAAACGAAACTTCAAACCCCATTTTTATAAAGGGAAATCTTATTCAGAATCACGTCAGCTATCTCCTATTTCAGGGACCTACACTAATTGTGAGACACCCTGTAGTTGCTATACCACAGGTATAACAATATCAGTATGAGTATATTTACTATAGTATATTTACACCATAGGTATAACAATATTAAAACAGTATAAAACACCAATCCGATCACTCGCTCTCGTATATAAATGTACAAGCTAAATTGTGCCACGTACGACTTTTTGTCAGAGAATCAAGTTTTCTTAAAATAGGTCAAAACCCTCAGAAAAATTGTCAAAAGTGCCCCAAAGTGGCTACCGGGTAATTTGAGGAACGAAGAAACTCCTCGCCAGTGAAAGCAAGAATTGAAATATACTTAGCTATATTATACTAGAGTTTTTTAAAAATAAAAGCAAACAAATGGCTGGATAGATATCTAGCAGCAAAATACTCCATATAGTACAGTACTTGTGCTTTGATAATCCACACGTGCTTATCAAGCACCTGCGTACGGAACATAAATTTAATTGATGTTTCTTGCGCATATCAAACCAAGGTCAAAGAGTTAAATATCTGATCAACATTACGTGAGAGGTTGATCTGGATAATATATTTCAAGGTCATCAAAATCGGACAAGCGTATCTTTTTGCAAATAAATTAACGCATTGAAAATTTTCCCACATCTTTGAAATTAAGATTGAGTGGCGGTAACAATTGAAAGAAATGATATTCAGCATGATAACCTTGATAACATATTTCAAGGTCATTGATTGAAATCAGCGGGGATTTCTCTGTTCTATAATTACCAGCTAATTACCAGCTTATTATCAGATAACTAAGATAATTTTGCTGATTGTTTTTTAAAAGAAGCATAGAAAAATTTATAATCGCAAAAATGCAAAATTTTATTTAAAATATTTGATATCTCTTATTGATGATTATCTACATATTTTTATATCGATCGCATTTTCTTTTAATAAAAATAAAATCTCTTCAAGTAGTACTTTAAATTAAATACTCTTATCGAAATGTATAATCTGCAAAAAATATTTGTATATGCGACAGTATCGTGCAACAATTAGTAAAATATTGATAGGATAATTTTTATAAAATAATAAGTTTATTACTTTCTGAAATTTCTGACAAATATCAGCACGCGTCGAATTACCATGCGCCGAATTACCACGCGTTGAATTACCTCTAGTTGAATTACTATGCGTCGAATTACCACGCGTCGAATTACCACGCGTCGAATTACCACGCGTCGAATTACCACGCGTCGAATTACCATGCGTCGAATTACCACGCGTCGAATTACCACGCATGGAATTACCACTCATTAAATTTCTATGCGTGAAATCAGCACGCGTCGAATTACCACGCGCCGAATTACTACGCGTTGAATTATTATGCGTGGAATTACCACGCACCAAATTACCACGCGCGCAGTTACCACGCATGGAGTTACTACGTGTTGCGTCGAATTACAATGCGTAGAATTACCACGCGTAGAATTACAACGCGTAGAATTACCACCCATCGAATTACCACGCATCGAATTACCACGCGTCGAATCACCACGCGTGGAATTACTACGTGTCGAATTACCACGCGCCGAATTACTACGTGTCGAATTACCACGCGCCGAATTACTACGCGTTGAATTACTATG